AGGGGGAGAGGGGGGGGCGGCGGGGGGGCCAGATAGGCGGACAAAGGGCACAGGGCACAGGGAACAGGGCACAAGGAACAGGGAACAGGGAACAGGGTCACATCATTTAATGCCATGACCAACCATCGAGAGAAGCGGAAAGAAATAAGAGACAAAAAAAAAGAAAAAGAAATATCCAATCAAGTCTACTCGTCTTCTCTTTTTTTTTTTTATCCCTCTCTCGCTCGGTCAACTGCACGTACGAGTTACGAGATATATGGGCACTTGATCGTAAATCCCCTCCCCCTCCCCCGAGGTGTCGACGAATGAGGAGTGGTGGCGAGTGAGTCAAAGAGGGAAGCATCATCTCTCTCTCTGTCTCCTCCGATGGGCCAAGGCGACCCGTAGGCATCCAAGACGCGTGAGGCTCGGCTCGGCTCGAGAAGGGTGTGACCTTGTGCGTGTACGTGTGCGTGTGCGTGTGCGTGTGCGTGAGAGAGAGAGAGAGAGAGAGAGAGAGAGAGAGAGAGGCTGTGCAAGGTTCAAGTAATATAGAGGTCGTCCGTCCAAGTACGACCACATGTATCGTATCGTATTCATACCCGTCTTGTGCGTGTACGTGTGCGTGTGCGTGTGCGTGTGCGTGAGAGAGAGAGAGAGAGAGAGAGAGAGAGAGAGAGAGGGAGAGAGGGGAGAGAGTATTGTACCACCAGGCAGGCAGGCAGCTGTCCGACCGGCGACATGTCATGACATGACGTTGAAAAAAAAAGTCTGGGCAGACCGGCGCCTACCCAATCTGGTCATGTTTTGCAAGCCGGAAACCGGGGTACGGGTGACTGCTGTTGATGATGATACTACCGTGTGTATATAGTCTGTACGAGTACGTACATGTAATAGCGTACGTATAATAATGTACGTACTCGTATAATGCCGTAATCTCTACAGATCATACCTATAGCGATGCTACTCCGTACTCCGTGCTCCGTGCTCCGTGCTCGGTAACTAGTTGCGGGTGACGATGGTGACCGGTATCCGTACAGATTACTCTGTCTACTGCGAGTATCGCTACCACCGGGACCACGGGTGCTACGTGTCGGGCTTGCCAATTGCCGGCTCAGATCGAACACAACTCCTCGACCCTTCTCCCCATTCCTTGTCCAGCAACTGTCCCTCTCTCGTATTGGTCGACAAATTTGGAGGAAGGATAGTCGGATGGAAAAAAAAGGCCCCCAAATCTTCAAAATACCAGACAAGGGTGTCTATCCGTAGAGACAGCAAGGGGGAAAAAGAAAAGAAAGAAAGAAAAAGGAAAGGAAAGGAGACATGAACCCTCCAACCCCGTCATTATCAGATATCAGTCTAGCAGACACGCCCCCGTCAGCCTCATCATGGTAAAACCAAACCA